AAGAATGCTTTGATAGTATTCGTAAGGCTCTGCAAGATACGGTTTCTGGCATACAAAACGTAACGAAGATTAAGTAAAATCTCCTGATAAGGGTACATGTGGGCCCTTTTGACAGTCTGTAGGAAGCAAAAAGAGGCCAAGCACACCCAGGACACATGGACGGACAGTGGGGCTGTGCACCTGAGGTGTAGGAGACTCAGACCGAAGGCCCCATCGGAAGCAGTAAGCTCAAAAGCCTTTCGCTCTCATTCCATACGGGGAATCTGTAGGTTCTCATCCCAAGCTGAAATTCCACTCTGGATCTCAGGTGCTTCCACCTTGTCCACAGACAGGGAAAAAGTTTCTTTTCTTGTACTTTGAATTTTCCAATAAAAATCGAAGACCTGCTTAGAATTTTGTTTGAAGTCTACAGTTCCAATATCAACCACGAGAGGCTAGGGAGAAGAGGTCCCTTTGGCCCTGCATGGGAGAGAGCCCATGGCAGAGTCTCCTTGCATTTCCCTGACCTCAGCAGCAACGGCAACACTGCAGCAGCAGGAACAGGCAAAGGCACAAACATTCCTCTAACTTCTACAAACAGTCAGAAAAAGGATGCCAAACACATTAGAGCTCAGCCACGTAAAAGTTTCACAGCAGTGTGAAACGGAGAGCTGGAGAGCTGGGTTTGGAGCAGTGGGAGAGAAGCCATGGATGAAGAAGGCACACAAAATGCAAGGGGAGGTGAAGTCAGAGATTGACTCTGGCAGTGAGAGGAAAGGGGGAACTGAAGTTTTTAAACACAGATGTTTCATGCATAGAAGGTTTAATTTTTTACCTTAAATTTTCACACATAAGTTGGACGCATAAAAACTTCAACAACCAGAACGCGGCCAAAACCTACAAGATTTAGTAGGGGTTTTGGTTTGTTTTTGTTGGTTTGTTTTTTTGTTGGTTGGTTGGTTCTTTTTTTTTTTTCTTTATTTGGAATGCTCCGATTGGCATCCTGATTTTTGCACTTCTGGGATCAGCTCACATTGTGATACACAGCCTGAATTTCATTTTGTTTTAAACGATAGTACACCTAAGCAAAGAATAGTTTTGAAAACAATGCCTTCCTGCTAGAGAAAACAACACATTCTATTACTGAAATTGAAAGAATAATAAAATATGGGATACATTGTCAGTGCCATGTGTTGCCTAAAGAGTATATGTCAAGCTCGGAAGCCTGGCAAGCATTTGTTGAAGAAAAGCAAAAGATCATAGATCTCAAAGAACTTCTTAAGTGCCAGCAAAGGGCTACAGGCTGGACCTGCTAATACTGTAGAACTTTTTTCTTAGATGAACAGTGACATTTTCTTTTTATAAAACCTACAAATTCCACTATTGGTTTTGAGCACTTGTAAAATCGTCTTATCAAAAAAGTCTGAACCCACCATTTTCTGGGTTTCTGCATGTTAGTACCTTCCTCAGTTTTTTGGCATTGACTTTTGCTAAAAAAGAAACCTCTCCACCTGCTTCATATTTACAGTGGAGGGTGGTTATCAGCATTGTGCGTTCTACTAAATCAGCTTCAGCAGAAGAAATATTAAGGTGACTCTGGGTGGTCTTCCAAATGTGCTGTTAGTTTATCAACATCATCCTTAACAAGTGCCTGAGATTAAATCAAGTAACGTAATGTGGTTTTAGTAAGACTGTGTTGCAGGAAATTCATCCATTTCCTGATCTGTGACTTTACCAGGTTGTGGGTTACCTGTGTTTCCAATAGCATCCCCGTTTGATCCGCTTGGTGCTGTTTTCTGATGGTTGCCTCTAGATAGCAGATGCTTGCACGCGCAATCCAAGCCTGTACAGGCTTACAATTTCTGTTACATCACATTTAGCGAAAGTGGCTTCTGCAAAATTTTTCTCAGCGTTGCAGCTTCCCAAACAAACCTCCGCTGTACTATATTTTGTGAGTGTTCTTACAAAAATAAATTTAACTCAGAAAATGCCATAGAAATTGCCTCCCCACCTTACAGGTTTTGGCTTCATTGCAAGCTCTTCAAATGTTCCCCATGTGCACTTATTTAGTGCAGAAACAAATAAGTTAAAACACCATCTTTCCGAAGAAGGCATAGTTCCAACGCTGGTTTAACTGCAGAGACCCTAATAGCTTCAGGTACCTCCAGAAAGTGATGATCCTGTCATCAAGGGCTTTTGAAATCATTATAGCTATAGTCTTAATTGTAGTCCTACAGACTTAGCCCTTTATAGACATATAAATGTAGTCCACATTGTACTGGTTGTTTATAACAGAGCCTGCACATCTGATGACACAGAACTGGCAGTCACAACCTCATCAACTATGAAAATATAAGGGAAAAAAGGGAGACGTCTTACAAATCACATCCCTGAATCTCTGAAGCGCTCCACAAAAAAAAATTGTCCCAGATCTAAAATTGTGCAGTATCTTCATTGATGGACTGGATTACAGAACAGAATATGGTTATTAAATTTGCAGGCAATACTAAACTGGGAGAGACTGGGTTAGAGTTCAGAGCTTTGCAAATCCGTGAGAAGTGTCTGAAAAAAGCGAGATACAGTTCTGAAAGCGTAAGTGCAAATTTCTCTGGTAACGCTAATTGCAAGTCAGAGCACGGTACAATGGAGCTAGAAACGGCAGGGAAAGATCCAGTGGCTATGACAACTCAGGAGCTAGCAATGAGTCAGAGTTATCATTCTACTGCAAAAAGGAGCCCATAGCAGGTTGTATAAATAGAACCAACCCTTTTCTCCAAGGAACGTGAAATAAACTTCTCATGGCACTGCTGGTGCCAGAGCTGAGCACTCTATGTAGAGTTTTGCACAGGATCCACCTGGAGAATCCAGGGACAGATGAACAGTGCTCTAGAAAACACAGCCATTGATGAAGAACTGATCGATTGACAGGTGAGTTTAATTTAAAGCACAGCTCCTCACACTGGAGGCAAGAGCTGGGGCTTGCTGTCTGGCCTGGGATCCACGTCGTGACTGCGGTGGAAAGTGAGAGCCTCGATGGAGGCAGCAAAGGAAACACAAACTCGTGAAGATGTGGGAAGGGGTGTGTGTGCGTGTGCATCCATGCAGAAATAAGCAGCAGCAAGGCTTATCCCAGACCAAGGCAGGGACCTCCTGATTTAGAGCAGTGATGGGAAGGAAACACAGCGGTATCCCTGGGTGTAAGTGTACGCTGGAAAATGCCCTGCATCATCCATGGTTTTAAAGTGTATTTGTCACAACCACTTTGAGGACAGGTGAGCACCCATTTCAAGGAATCTTTTATTTGCTATTACTCTTTCTCAACACCACCCTGCAAGCTCAGTAGTGTGCTTTTCAGCTCCCTTATGGATTGTTACGAAGGCCTCAAACCAGTAGCACGGATCAAAGAATCAGTTCCCATTTTAATACGTTGCAGCTTATTTTTACCTTTCATTTTTGTTCTAGCAGGCGGATTTCATACTATGTGACAGCGCTAACAAAAAAGCAAAACATTCTTCTTTCTCCATGGATAAATTTAGGAGACACATACACTTGATAAAAGCTCCAGAATTTCACTCGTAGCACTCAAGTGCTTTGTAATTCAATCCAAAAGGGACAAACCTAATCTAAGACAGCTCCTGCAGTTATAATGGCCAAACCTTCATTCATCAGTTTAGGACTACACTTTGTTCCTGGAAAACCCATGACAATTTTGTTCATTGTTCTTCTGGTTTTTCAAGTAACACACCAGCGTTCCCTAATGGTGGTTTGGTCATTGTGCTCCATGACTTTTCACAAAATCCTTATTTAGTGTCAGGATTACCTTCTGTACAAACTGGAAAGCTTGCATGTAGCAAACATCCCTTTCCCTGCTCTTTATCATGAGTTCCATGACCGTTGAACTCAGTTTAAGTCCTGCCTTTCCTACCTACACTGAGCTTGAAAGGGCTGCTATGAACACACTACTTAAGGTCTGTGGCAAATCGCTGCTTCTTTCTTTTTGTTCTGAAGGGTTCGGTTGAGCATTTCCCATACTATTCCTTCCTTGCCATAATTTCTGCATGAAGTCACTGTGGACAGCTCCAACTTCTATGCCACCCCCTCAGACAGATTAAATACATTATGCCAAGCATTTGCTTCTTCAGGATGTTCTTCCACCTTTCTTTCACAGCTGTGACTTCTGACGCAGTAACAGCTCATGGTTTATTATTTTTAGCACCCACTAGGACTGCGTGTTACCTGCAGCACACCACAGTAATGTTTCATTTCTCTTCGGTGAGATAGGGAAAAAAGACATGCATACATTTATACATATTTATTGGATCTTTTTAAAAGTAGCATTTGCAGTTACTTTTAAGCATTCACCTCTCTTCTGCTTCCAATGTGCACTTACTGAGAGAAACATCTACTGGCTTCCAAGTCCAAGATTAATACCAATAATAATACATGCCAGAATCAAGCTTCGTTGCTTGTTGGCAGCTCCTGTCATGAAAATATTATACAGAAAGAAGAGTGTGGAAAAGGTCTGTGTTAATCACTCGGCAAGAGGCTGGGGATGGATTAGCATGATCATACCATCTTCTCAAGTTGAAGCATAAAAATGCTTTCCTGAAAAACCGAAGCTCACGTAGTAGCTTTTTTCCTTTTGCATCCAGCAGGTGGACAAGGCAGTTGGTTTTTCTACAGTAGCGTCTTTAGTTGATCAAGTTTCCTCATCATCTATAGGAAAACACTTGCTGTAGACCTTTATATTTAGAAATGTCTTCTCCTCGTGTAACAGCAAGAAAATACTTGAAATCTGGCACGCAGTTAAGAGGAGTGGGAACAAACCAAATTTCATCCTCGGATAAAGATACGTAACTACCATAGATTTCAATCTAACCCACGCACAAAGTTTTACACATACTACAAATAGAAACAGAAGGTATCAGCAAAAGACTATTCTTACATTGTTTCAAATTAATTTGCAACTATACAATTTTAACTGTAATAGAAAAAGGGAAAGGAATATAACAGAATAGGTATGAAGAGAAATATTTTCCAAACTTTTATTTGTGCACATTCATCAGGTGAAAAAGGTAACTTTTACAGCGTCTTTGGTGCCCAATATTCAGCATACAAAAATGTAAAAGACTATTCACAAATAAAACACAAGCTCAAAATAAAACAAAAGAAAAGTTTTAAAGGTAGTGCACATCGTGACAGCTTTATTTATGAATACACAGAAATTACTGCAAAAATAAATAGAATGTCTTTTCAAAAGCAGCAATTTCATATCTTGTAAACTTCCGTTTTTACAATACAGCACTGTTAAGAGTAAAATCCAAAAGAACTGGAGTTTATACTGTGGCCATGAGCAAGTAAAAGAGTCTCTATTCCTCTGCTATTGTTGGTCCAGTTTTCCGTTTAGTCCAATGTGCAGCAGTCTTTAAAGGTGCTTGGTTAGGGAACCTAACCATCAAGTGGTGAATTATAAAATTTATTTCCTGCTTTCAAACACGAATGGGTAAATCTGTTCCACAGCGCTGGCAACAGCCTTTACGTTTGGCCCTGAGATATAGTCAGAAAAAAAAAAAAGCAGTAGGAAGAGAAAAATCAGGGAATCAGAAATTAAAACAACAATAGTATCTTTTAAAATAACCTTAATATTTTTAGCTACCACAACTTCATACTGTAGACAAAAATAACTTCTCCCCCGTTTCTCCCAACTTAAGATCTGCAAGATGTTTTTCACTGGTCAGTGACTGGACTACAAATCAATAATACTGTCATTTAATTTCGTAACAACTTGTGTGCTTTTCCTGGCTTTAAACTGTCAGCCCAGAGATGAAGGCAGATGCTGAGTGGCAAAGGTAAAGAAATACTTTACTTATGCTAATCTTCTAGGAATTTGTATTACTCAAACCATAGCCACTTTTATCTCTTCTTTTAAAAACCTACCAACAAAAAATGCTGCTAAATAACACTGGATTTAACCCAAGTATGTTGCAAGCAAGGTCATTTTACATTTGAAAATTATAGACTATTACTTTCTAGTCTGGATTTTGCAAATAGCTCCACCATTGACCTCAAGACAAAATCTGCACACCAGGGAATGGGTACTGTCTCAGGATGAAGCGTCTGAAGGTTATCTTACATGATCCATAAGCATTTGGGGAAAGAAAAGAAGAAGGAACTAGTGATGCTTTCTAATGGTACTAGACCATTTTATGCAATGAACAATTAAGATTGCAAATAAGTGAGCAGTAATATGCCAGAAGAAATTAATCCTGGAAAGAAGTCTGGTGATGCAGATAAATGAAAAGAGCAATTTCTCATGTGCTTCGATGACTGTGAACTCAGGGGTTTTTTTACCTCACTTTAGGCTTCATAAGTTTCTTCCAAATATAGAAGAAATATAGTATTTGTTCAAAATGCTTCCCCAAAACCCTAAATAAGCTACTTAAGTTATAAATTACTTATTTAAGTAATTCTGGAAATATTGTTTTAATTTACATGCTCAGGCACAAAGAGAATAGAATGGAATAGGATTCTTTTTGTGTTTTCAAACTTGTCAAGCTGAGTTAAGCACTCACTTAAAACAAGCTCGATGAAAGATACCTGCTTTCTGGGCAGATACTGCACCTTCCTCCATTTGTCTATTACAGGAATGCAAGTTCTAGAGAAAGCCTTCAGAAAGCAAGAGTATGAGTAGGCAAATAAGTCTTGTAAATAAATGCTACTCCCTGTAGGGTTGAAGAGATGTAAAAACTGGATCATCATTGCAGGGAGTATAAGAGAAGAAAAAAAAAAAACCCAAACCAAACAAAACGAAAAAAACCAAACAAAACAAAACAACCCCCTCATCACTCATTTTGGAGGAAGAAAAATTAATACTTATTCCTATTACATATAATTTCTTTTTGTTTTCTTTTCTCAGTGTAACTAAATCTTTTTGTACTTTTTCCATAAAAAAAACCCACCTTCCTGTTTCTTAATAACATTTTGAATTATGTATCTGACATGAAATTCTTTGCATTAGTGGCACGACAAGTACTAGTACTACAGAAACATGAACAGTCAAAAGGAACCTCATTTGAACGCACTTGAGAGGGAGAACAGTAAGGCTGAAAAGTAATTTAGAACGTTTTTGGAACAAGAAGACGACTGTGAACATTTTTTTCCCCTAGAAGAAAGGCTTAGGCAAAGCAAAATCCTTCCAAACCAACAGAGGTCTGAGAAACTTCAAACCCACTGTAACAAGTAAACCAGAAGGAAGTAAAACTTTGATGTTTACCAAACTTGCCTTCATCTTTGAAAGGACAATTCTGGAAGCATGAAGGTGATTTTGTCCCTTATCTGGAGTAATAAGAACCTTACAGAAAGGCTAAATCTCATTAGGAGGCTGACAAGACACACTGAGAACCTTTTACTACTGCAGTGGTACTCAAGCTTCTTATTTTAAGTTTAGTTTCTAGTTTTAGCTAGACCAGCTTCTCTGTTCAGAGCATAGACTGCAATCTTGAAACACTTTTTAGCCCTATATTGTCAGATTACCAAATCTGATGGAGTTTGTCTTCTTCAAAAAACACTTCTCCCGATATCTTGGGAGAAACCTTCCCCATAAAGGTATTTGTTAAAGGATTAAGATGGGAAAATAAAAATCCCTACCCAACTTCTGGACCAGTAGCTAAGGTCTAACAAGCGCAAGACAGAATTCCCGCTCAAGTGATGTAAGGTGATGTTTGTTGGTTCTGTACCATTTTAACAGGTATTCTCTAAAAAAGTCTCACTTCTCACATCTGGAAACGTGCGGTGGACGCCTCACAAGCAAACATAGCAAAGAATGGAAAACGAAAATTCGGAAGAGAGACGCAAAAACATGGCATGGCATCTCCAAGACCCAAGACTCATGTAGTCTCAGACTACAGGGGAAAAATCCCTGGTGCCTGGGATTCAGGTGGTGGTTCTCTCTCAGTTGACCTTCAACAGAAGAGAGCACAAGTCTGGAAAACTGCAAGTATTGGTCAACTTCAGTTATGACACAATGCGATGCTATCCTGTAAGCTTCCATATATCTCCAGTTTGGAAACATGGATTTATGAAAGGGATGTTAATGCTACACACGGTGTAGTTTACAAGCGCCATGAACATGAAAAAAAGGAAGAAAATTCGAATATTTAAATAAACGATAAATACCTGCATTCTCAAGTCCTATCTCACTTTAGTTTCTATAAAAAACAGACTATGTACATTCAATAAAAGTAATTTTTGAGCCTGCCAATGATAACACTTTCTCTACAACTCTTCTGGCATTTTCACTCAAAACCAAAACCAAGTGCTGGCACTGGGAGACAAAATTCCTTCAACAATATCTTTTGACTGTTTTAAAGGTCTTCCCTTTCTAAACCTACTGGCCCTAAAGTTAACTATTCCCAACAAGTTAAATATTTATTTTTGACATCAAAATACCTGTAACTGTGATACTGCCTGTGGAAAAAATCTGTAAGGTAGCTCTGAGAGATTTTATTCTGTAACACACGGCAGGATGAAGTTCTGGTTCATAACTAGAAAACAAAATAAAAAGTAAAAAAGATAGATCTAGAACTGAAAAAGAAAAGCTTTAGTAGTATACCAAGACTGTAATTTTTTAAAATCCTACCATACCTCGCATGAGGTCTGTTATTCTTTGTAAATTCTGGCAATCTGATCTCAAAGGGCATGTTGCACACTGCTAAAACATTCACAACTTTAAAATCTGTGAAAATCACCTTTTCAAAAGAGAGGAAAAAAAAAGACATTAGAAATTCAGTTTACAGTGAGGTAGATGTATGGGCTGCAAAAAATAAATAAATTAGAAGAATACTAAATTAGAATATTTTTATGATATTTCAAAATGAAAACCTTGTGATTGATGCATTTCTAGCAGGAATTTCTAGCGCTTACTGGACTCAAATCACTTACTTTATCCTTTTATGGCTGAACTAGGTACTTCACAGTTGTATTGTACGGTTATAGTACAGTTTAAGAATGAGACACAGAAACTCATATTGCTGTACTAAACACCTCCAAATTGAAAATAAACTAAATTAAACAGCTCATGGGACATCAAAACAAGCAGAGAAAAAGCTTAGATTTCATTGTTACAAGAATCTGATGCAATTTGAAAACTTCTTTAATGCCTTGCTGCTATGCACCATTTGTTTTAAAGCTAAGAATAAGAATAAAGGTGAAAATGTTTTTTCTATTCAAATCTCCAGTGGCCTCTACGGCTTTTCTACTCCATTACTTTCTGAAATGCAGCTCAAACTTCTGGCTTTCTGTTATTCTTTACCATAGTCATTTTAGACACCAACAGAATAGCCAACAGACAATTCCTAAACAAACAAATGCACTGCTGAGACATCAGTGTTGGCACTATCACTGAAGAAACTTTTGTTCACTTTCGGAGATTGCCTAAACTTAATATGACCATTCCTCAGAAAAAAACTTTTTAGAAGGATACTATCAGTAGAAACAACTTAGCCTTATAAAAAGTCAACCACCAATTTAATCTTCAAAATACATTCCACTTAAACTGCTCACTTTATAATAAAATAAAACTTGGTGCACCCACCCTGGAAGCATAGTTCACCTTATTGACTTAATGTTCCACTCCAACTTTAAGAGGCTGGGTCTGATGCGTGCATTCGTAACAGCAGGAGTGTCCAACTTCTGCTTGGATCTGATGCAGCATCACCAGGACAGCCTGTCACCACGGCCTTTATGTACTGCAATCAAAGGTAGCCTGCCCTTGCCAAAGGACAGCCCTTCTGTCTATTAATTGCCTGTTCTTAAACTGAAATTATGGGTAAGCAGCACAACTGACTACCAGGAAGTCTGAGAGTACTAAACTGTCTCATTTTAAGCCATGCATGTTGCTGTTCTTCGATCTTTACTATGAAATGCAAGTGGTGTTTTTGACTGGTAGTGTTAACCTAAACCCGCAAAAAAAGAGAGGCTTCACGTCTGAAGTATTTTATTTGTCTTCCTCCCTGCTGTGCAACCTGACAGAGCAGATGCACTTTTCTTCCTCTCTTTAATTAAAACGGCTCAAACTTGCCCTTAACAAGATGGGCCTGTACCTGCTACTCCAGCAGAAACAAGGGAAAATTATGTTCAAGTGACAGTTAGGTTTATACTCTTCAGCACTCCTTCCAAATAAATCTTTCAAGATATTGTAAATTCTATCCAAGAAACATCTGTGGGTGGTTCATTGATGAAACAAATTTTGTTGTTTGCTAGCCAGCGAAGAAGCACTACTCTGAGCTGCCAAACAAAACTCAAATCCACAAAATACAACAGCTTCTCTTTAAACAGCATCTGGAAAATGTATGCTGACACAAAAGGGGCATGTGAGTGAAAACATGCTCGTTGCTAAACTGTTACGCTCCCTCATTTTTGTTTCTTTCTAAAATATGGACTACCAGCATTGTTTAAGTCACGCGAGCCCTTTTCCATGAGAATTACCTGGAAACCTAGTTTCTGTAGACTACGAGCTAATCGCCTGGCACCAAATTTAGCTTCTTCTTCACTATAAAGGAGAAAGAAAAGAATCTAGTGTTAACAGAAACAGAGTACGTACCACGACAGCTACTCAGGCTACAAAATGAACCGTTACATCATGTAGTGCATGAATCATGATCACATGGACAGTCTTCATTTCGTCCTGCTGTACGTTATTACGTTTTAACTATCTAGACAGGCAGATGGAGTCCTTTATGTCCTGTTTGAAGAATGCCTTGGCACTCGTCTCCAGCTGAAGTGGGAGACGAGTTTTGGTCATACGTGATACTAAATACTCTTAAGAGACAATCACAACCATAGGTAGTCTGGAGTTAACATCCTGAACAATCATCTTCCGTTTTGAGACAGAGATCACAAAGTGTGCAAATTTACTGTTGCATCTCATCCTTACTCCACCAGCTGTTAAGAGTTTAGCAAATCTCAGATGTATCTGAACTGAGTCTGCTTTAGCTTCTTTCCAGTCTCTCAACACTGCATAACCTGATTAAGTTCAGGTGGGTTTTCATGAAAGAATAAGAGATATCCCTCCAAAAAAGGTCATCTCTTCCCAAGTTTCAAGTTCTGGCTAAAAACACACAATGCTTAAAAAGTTCTCAAATGAAATCTCTAGGATTTTCTTCATAAAGTAGTTTTCCCTGCTGCTCTCCCAGAAGGCTGAAATGATGTTGCTTAAGATTTCAAATCAGTCTGAGGGAGACATTTCACAAAGAAAACTTCCTCCCAAATATGCAGCTTGGCAAGGATCTATGTGTGAGCTGATGTTGGTGAATCTTAACAGTGGCAAGTTCTGCCTCTTGCCATCCTCTCCATTTACAATGTTGTATTTTAAATGTTAATTTACAATGTTAATTTTAAAATACACATGAATTTACAGTTAGAGAAAGAAACTTCATGAACTCACCTTGTGGCTCCTGTGCAAATAACTTTTCCTGAGGACCAAATTGTGGCCGTAATCCTAGGTTTCCTAAGTTTCATTAATACTTTCTAAAAAGAAAAATGTAAGTGGAAGAACTGGGAATTAGTGGTAGTTCAATTTCATACTGGAAAAAAAAAATCAACTATTTGACAAATCAGCTGTTACACTAATAATACTTCTTTTTTTCTTTTTTTTTGATAGCCTTGAACTGTTCCTTCATCTCTTTCAGTAATTAAAAAAAAAAAATCAGCTCCTGAGAAGAGCAAAATACACATGGAATATCTCAGCCAGTGATTCAGTGTTCACAAAACAGATTAAATGAAGGTAATTTCCTCTGAATAAAAAGGAAAGCCATGAGCATTGTGCTAATTTTTATTCTTATTGCAGTGACTCCCACATTGCTGACTCCTTATCAGGATATATTTTCTTGACAAAACCATCAAATTTGGGGAGGCAAAATGGACCCTGAGGTGTCAGAGGTCTCGTCACATACCTTATACCAAATATTCACCTCACTAGTTGCAGTCTTCTGAGACAATATTTACACGCTCCCCTTACTGTACATTCAGTGTATGACAGACTAAATGCCTATCAAGGCAGAAATACAGAAATAAACCTGGTTTTCTCTCTCCACCATACACAGATAGCAGACACAAGAAGGTTTAGCCTAAGGAACATTTTTAAAAGCAGATAATTGAGGCACGTTGAGTCTCTTACCCCAACATCACGCTTGTAGATGACATTTGCGCCCTCTAATGCAATCTTCCTCAAGTTTAAATGGCATCTTGTTCTAAAAACACACACTACGTTTGTGATTAAAATGTCCAATGCAACATCACTGTCCGCATCCATTGGGGTGATTTACAACTCAGTCTTCCCACCAGCTCACCATGAAGATCACATCCTGAGAAACAAAAATGATAAAATTAAACATACTGGTAGAAAATTGCCTATTAATACCATTGGATACATCCTTCCCTTAAATGAGACAAGAAGCAGAAGTGACAACACTCTGACTCATTTAAGTTAACTGTGTGTGGGGAGGGGGGGTGTATTTGCATCCTGTATGCTAGAAAATAGGTTACTCGTTTGAACCCATGTTGCCAGACTTAAGAAATAAAATATGTGTGTATATATATCTAAAAAATATTTAAACTTGCCAGTTAAATGTGTTACAACTCTTACCAACTATATTAGGACACTGTAAAGATTACTGAAACTTTTTCCATAGCTCCAGTGGATAATCTTTCCTCAGCTCATTTAAGGATGTCATTAGACACCTCAGGAAAATGCATTTCTCTGACTGCTGAAATTGATAATTCTGAACAGCTTGACGTTTGTGTTGGAATGGATGAGCCTGCTGGATAACTCTGAACTAGCACGGGTGACACAAACTGCAGCCTGTAGACAGCCTGCTACCCACAGCCCTCCCATCTTCACCCAGCACCCTTGGCCTCTCTCTCCCAATATCACAGCACAACATGAACTGTACAAAGTGTCCTGGTGGCAGCAACAGCCTGGGCAGTGGTGTCTCACTCCCTTCTCCACTGTCCACAGGAACCGCATAGAATGAACCTGTTGTACACGCAGAGTAAAATCCATTGTTTCTGAGGAAAAGCCAAAGTTCAGACCCAAGCAAGCCAGGAAGCACCCAGTCTGCCCGTGCACATTGAAGGTGACACCCTAACACACACATCAACCAGGGAGGAGAATCGCAGGACAGGGAGTTGGGCTACTGCTCAGCCCACCCCAGCCCGCCTGACAGCTCTTCTGTAAGTGTAACAAAGCCAAGACAGCAGACATCTCAAATAAATTTCAGGTGAAGTATTTGGGGAAAGGGGAGGAGGAAGTAGCAGGAACGTTGGTATATAGTGAAAAGGACCTATATCAAAATCCTGTAGTTCATTAAGGAATTTTTTCCTTGTAGAAGAATGCAAAAATCTTAGTTTTACTCCAGGAGAAGCAGCGTAAGTAGAGCATCGCCTAAGAGACAGAAGCAATGTTATCTTGATCTACTCATCTAAAATTGTAGTTTTATTTCATACAAAATGAACCCAACAGAAAGCAAAGAGCAAAATCAAAGAAAAAAGTCAGATATATGAAATGCTCTACACGATCACTGCCATGGAAGAAGCAGGAGACTATGTATCAAGAGCAACAATATACGTAACAGACTAATGCATTTATATCACTTGAAACGTTTGGCCTTACATTCTATGTCCGAAATCTTCACGATACAAAATTATTGTTATTATCAGTATTTTCATCTGACTATGACTTCCTAAACTTCATGCCATAGTCTCTAATGGAGAACTCACTCAAGGTGCACCTCTGACTCCAGCTCACTGACAATACAGAAGGAATAAACCACAAGGCAGATGTGCACAATGTAGTGGGTCAGCTGCCACGATGGCTGCTGCTTCTGCTTGCTCCCAGCTGAACAAACTGTTCTGTAATTGTTGGCTTGTCCAGTACAAGAAAAGGCAAGATGGGTGATAACACAGAAAAGAGATGAAGAAACAGCCAAGAGAAAAATCAGGAAAACCAAAGGCTATGTGTGGGGGTGAGGGGGAAAGCAGTCAGAGAGGAGAACAAGCAGTAACTAATTAGTATTCCTGGATCCTTTTTTTTTTTTTTTTTAAATCAGAAATTAAATGAATCCTCAAAGTTAGAAATGACTTCTCCCATCTGGTTTTGATGGACTACTACAGATTGGGTTAGCAATTTATGGCACCAGATCCAAAGATAGCACATGTGCAGATTTTGAGTGGCATGCAGGCAGGGCCAGCACGGAGCAAGGAGCTGGAACCCGTGGCATCTTCAGAGCGGCATTTGTTTTCCACCCTGGCTCCAGCTCCTGGCTCTTGCCGAGTTCACTTACTGGAACCCAAGAAATGATTGCCGTGTAAGAAAACAAGGTATCTCCAACCAGCAGTGTCTCCCAATTATCAGCAAGTTTCTACTGGCCCCCTCAATCTCTACATTCTGAAAGAATAACACTGTCATGCACAACACCCTCGAAAGGTTGCTAACCTCTAAGCAAACCATAATACTGTGGGATAGTGCTGCCATAAAACTCTGATGGCTTCTCTTAAACAGATCCAGAGAGAAAAGTCACGTGCTCATTCAGAACAAAGGAAAAAGTGGTTGAAAGAGAGGAAAATTACAATTTGAAAGGAAAAGATCTATCATTAAAGGGGGATCTACAGGAAAAAAAAATTAATATGCAGTAGAGCTGTCAGTAAGGATGCTTTCAGCAATTATCATATATCTTGGTTAGAAGTACAATCTCCTTGCCTAGATTTTAATGGGAGAAAAATTACACAACATTACTGTAGTGTGCCCCCATTTTCATCAGCCATGTTCTGAAAGTTCAAGACAACAGGTATTTAGCGAGGAGTTTTTAAATTTGAAATTTAATTGGAGCTGTAGCTAATCTTCTAGGCTATGTTTTGTGATGTTCAGTTAAAAAGGGACATAGTTTGTTACGTTACACTGAATACAGTGTAAAAATAGTGAAAACTGCCTTTATTCTACTTCAATGTTACCTGATGTAACAGAAGCATTTCATTGCTAAACTTTTCGCTCAAATATTGAACATTTCAAATATTAATTACCAAGTTTTTCTCATTTGTATTCAGCAAAGTCTTTATTTGCTGCTGCTAAATACTAACCGTGTTCTTTGAGAACCTGGACATAAGCATCAACAATTTCGAATACACTCATTCCCATTCAGTATACAAATACAACGTTGACGTCTTCCAAGGCATGGCTTAGAAATATTGGGTAAAGCAAAATGTTTCTAGACTTGGATATTTCTGCCCAAGCAGTAAGCAAGCGTAACCTATCACAACCTCTGCCTTAAGTGTTCGTTTTATGTCTTACAAGGTACTGACAGCAAAGGAAAAAAAAAAATAGAGAAAAAGACGTCCTGCTACCTTTCTTTGGGAAGTCTCAAAGAAATTCATAGGAATCATGAGAACAGAAGCAAGCTAAACATTTTAAAAAAATAATAACACAAGAACTATATAAAACATAAAATCCGAAAAACATGTTTATAAGAAAGTGTAACAATGTTTTCTTATTTTTATTTTTAAACAAGAAAGAAATAAATAAAGAAATAAAGATGATGATACTCGTATTTACAGATATTTCAAGTAGCATGACCAGCTGGAACAAAGGAGCCCTACACCACACTCTGATCCTCCTCTTTCCCAGTTTTCTCTTGTCTTTAGTGCTATTAATACACACTACTGTATCCCTGCTGCGTTTGTCTCCCATGTTCAACATGGGGAAAACGATGCTCCATGCTTTTACAAATACATTTTGAGATGAAGCAACAGCCTCACATATAAGCCTGTTACTATTCCAAATCTACGCAGTTACACTTGCAGAACAGAGGGACTGAGTAGAAACCAAACAGCTGGTTCTTTCCAGTCCTGGATTTGCGAATCCTAAATTGATTTTACTGAGCTCAGCTTAGGTTTTGTTGATTAATCTTGCCCAAAGGTTCTCTCATCTAACCTCAGAATTTTGGCAGCTTAAATCTCACTTCTAAAATTATGTTTTGCCAGTTAATGCTAATTTAATAATATGCTAAAACGAAAAATAAAATCATTTACTTGTCTCTATATGCAGCATTTCTTTTGAATTATGTACATCACTCAGCTTTCTCCAGTGTAAGAAACTAGTCAACTTTGATTTCGAGTTGTCTTGCACCAGCATAACACAATCTACCCTGACAGAGAAAAAAAAGCTTAAATATATCTCTGCAGAAGTCTGTATTATTTTATTTAATTTAATTTTCTCAAGGAAATTTTACAAATTTGTTCTTTCTTTTCAACACAGATTTCAGGAATACATCTGGAATATTACCCTAAGAAGAAAAAAAGAGGAAGGAAAAAAAAAGAAGATAGGTAAAGCATGATAATGAACATAAGAATAAAAACAACAACAAAAACTAACTCAAGGATATTTGACACTGTAAAGTGATATATTCTACACTGAAACTAGAGAAACTTCCCAGAATAAGAAATATTTTGGAGGAAGGAATGAGCACTCAATTTCTTAAACAAAGCATTACCCATCCATCCCCAGTCACAATCACAGCCATACTATTTTAGATACTATATAAACACACACGAAGACAAACACCCTACACCGGAATCTTACAATCTAAAAAAAGCCCATGCTTTCTGTCTTCAAAAAGGTCCAAACCAACCACCCCATCACCATCAAAGAGAGAGGAAAGGCACTTGGGATGAGGTATATAAACAAAGTAGGGTTTTAAGCTTTTGGCTACCTTTGATCTGAGAAACTCAGAGCTAGGAAGGTAGATGAGGGGTATCTAACAACGGTTACGTTAATGTCTGAACAGTTTAATAAACACCTTTTTCACCAGCAGCCTAAGCGTAAGCAACTTCTACCGGTTATTCTTAACCTTTCTCCAAAGCAGTTCACCAACAGACCAACCCCACAGACAGTTCCAACAGCCCAGCTGAAGAGGCATCTGTCACTATTGCGTCACAACACGCGGGAACCTCCATATGAGGTTTCCATACGAGAACAGAGAATGCACCCAAGAAAGCCCACCAGCTATGAGAAGTGTCAATTACATCCTTCCACTCCAGGTCCGTTTTTTAAGACTTGTGTTCAGCCCCTCAGGAAGCAGGTCCATCTGAAAGACTGGAGGTGCCAGACCTCCAAAATCTGCTTGAATTCTTAGATACCATACGGTTATGGTGGCAGGTGAGTGACTCCGCAGAACAGAGAGCAACATAGCTACTCCTGTCTGTACAGAAAATCCTCTGGACTGAACAACTTTTTAGTTACAGCCACTGAGCTTGTGGGGCATGCTTCTACTCTTTGTTGTCTCTAGTGGCAAGTTAAATTGACCCTCTAAAGCA